AGAGAGAGAGAGAGAGAGAGAGAGAGAGAGAGAGAGAGCAAATGTGACCACAAGCCACAGATTACATGTGGAAGTCAGAGGACAACTTGCAGAAGCCTGTTGACAAAGGTTTCTATCCTGCCTGATCCCACAGCCATTTAGCCCCAAAGAAATACACAGAGGTCTACATTAATTATAAACTGGTTGGTCTATTAGCTCAGGCTTCTTATTAACTCTTATAACTTACATTAGCCCATAATTCATATCTATGTTAACCATGTGACTTGGTAACTTTTATTAGTGAGTCATTCTCATCTTGCTTCCTCTGTGTCTGAATGACTGCAGACTGAGTCTTTCCTCTTCCCAGAATTCACCTGTTCTGGTTGCCCCACCTATACTTCTTGCCTGGCTACTGGCCAATCAGCGTTTTATTAAACCAGTACAACTGACAAACCTTTATAGGGTACAAGATCATTGTCCAACAGCTGAAGCCATTTCAGTGCTTCCACTATGTGAATCCTGAGGCCCAAACTTGAGTCACCAAGCTTGGTGTCGGATGCCCTTACCACCTGATTGCCCCAAGAATGGTGCGTTTAAAAACCATGACACTTCCTCAGGATCAGAAATACAGAATAACAAATGTCACTCTATGTTGACTATGCTCTTTGTTCATTTTTTCTTATTTTTTGGAAGATTTTCTGGGTCCATACGATCATCCCAATCAATTTAAGGTCTAGAATTCTTCTTATGGTGTCCATCAGGAGAAAAGTAGTTGTTAAAGGGTCTCTATTCCAGACTGCTGGATGAGAACATTTTAGAGACTTGCTTGATATTATCATTAAGGTCTTCTATACAAATTCTAAAAATGGGCATGCTTATTTGCACAAACATCTCATTTGCTGGCTGCACCTAACTAGAGCTCTAGATTGTAACTGTTAATCACCTGGCCTCGGGTAAGTTCAGGCTGTCCTAGTATTACTGACCCCAAATGTATTTTAATGTGAACATTATTAATAGGAATTTAAAAGAGCCACAACATCTTGAATGAACCACACAAATAACGTTTATTAGTGAATAAAAGCGAACCAATAATCACTTACAATATACTTGTATAATTAACACAATTACAGCCTCTTTTAACTGCTGAGTTTTCTAACCCATAATTTTCAATCTTTTAGGTCCTGAAAGGTAAAGGGGATGCTTCCATCCGAGCTCATTGTTTTTTTTTTTTAAAAAAGATTCATTTATTATGTATACAACATTCTGACACCATGTATGCATGCACGCAAGAAAGAGGGCACCAGATCTCATTACAGATGGCTATGAGCCACCATGTGGTTGCTGGGAATTGAACTCAGGTCCTCTGGAAGAGCAGCCAGGGCTCTTAACCTCTGAGCCATCTCTCCAACCCCCACAAATAATTTTTAATTTGCCTTTCCCTGATGGCTTAGGATGTCGAATCCTTCATCAAATATCATTGGCTATTTTTTCTTGTTTTTGTTTTTTATTGAGCCATACAATTTTTCTACTCCCCTCCATTCCCCCCCTCATTTTCTATTCTTTCCTGTGACCCCCACGCTGCCAATTTACTCAGATCTTTTCTTTTTCACCTGTGGATCTACATAGAAAAGTCAATCTCATTTTTGACTACCCTCTGCTTGAGAGCTACGTTGATGCTCATTGGGTGGGTCAGCATCTTCTGTGACAGGTCTCTTCAAATGGGTTGCAGACATGCCTCGGCTTCCTTCTATGCTCCCTAACTCCAGTTGTTCAACAGGCCATCTGCTTTAACAGGTAGTCTCTCTGCTATTTATCTGCTGCGACTGTTTTCACCAGACTCTCGTTGCACATCTCTAAGAAGGCTCTGCCTTATACCACATACAGAGAAACACATCCAATCTTATCACATTTTCATGTGTGTCTGCTGTACCTTGCACTGAACACTCCTCCCTCTGCTGTTTCCATACACAACACGAAACCCTGGGGTACGCTGGTCAGAATGTCTTTTTAATACTGACTTCTGCATCTACATGACAATTATGCATTTGAGACAACAACCTATCTGTGTAGTTCTAACAAATCTTAGCCCATGCCCTGGAGGCTGCCCCTGCTTTAGTCTTCAGATACACACTATCTTCCTGCTTATGAGCAAAATGTGTGAGCCAGGTACAAAAAAAGGAACGGCTCCAAGGAGTCAAAGGAAGATTTCAATATAGTTATTTTTTTAAAAAATGAGAATGTGTGTTAATCTGTTTAATATTAGTTAATAAGTATAGCCATTAGATTATGATAAAATGTAAACCCAGAAGAGGCTGGTCCATAGGGCATACTATTAAGATGCTGACCACATGAATAGATTCTTCACTCTGGAATCTTCAGGTTTTCACTATCTAGTTAGTATTTTAGGTTCATCATTATTTGAGAATCTTGCGGGCAATTATAAAAAGAGCATTTTCATTTCTTGGCCCTCTTGAGATGGCAATTTCTATAGAAATTTGAATTCTTCTAAATGCCTAGACCGGATGTTCAAGGTTTGCTTCAGTAATACACACCCCTGTTATCTATGCATGTAGGTACCTGATACTGAACCACTGGTTCCCCAGGAAAGATAGTACATTAAATACTTTCCTTCTTTAGATTGTAATTTTTCTCTTAAATTTTAGTTGTGAAAAGGTCTCTGAAACCTGAGATCCCAACAATAAAGTTCTGATAGGGAAGCTAGAGACACTTCGGGATGAGTAAGATGGAGCACAAAAGATGCTGTGGAAAATGAAAAGTTCCCAAGACAAACTTGGTTGATATCTGGTTTTGCCTACAGGTCCCCCTTTGAGCAATAGAAACTCTAAGTTTCCATTTTGACAATAGACAATAGGGAATGTCTGCCATGAATTATTAAATAAAACAAAAAATAAATGGTTTCAACTGTCCCTCAAACTCTAAGACATATTTCAAAATACAAGAGTGCACCAGTTACCCATTTTCTCCTACACTTCCACTATGACATAGGAAACCAGTGTTGTTCAATTCATTCTTGTCAAGATGGGCATCAATGGCTTTAGGCTTCTGAGGGACAATAGAAACCATGATACTTTTTTATTTTACTAAAATGCAACTTTTTGTGTTACTAACTACAATCTTATGGGAAAAACACAAAGGAAATGAATATATCATCTACCTATTTCAAAATACTTAAGGCATTTGGAAATAAACTTAGTATGTGTATGGAATATAACACTGAGCCAATTCACAAACTTAAACTATATTAGAGCTATTAATGTCAAGTTTTATATACTAGAACATGTGTAACTTTTGGCTGAGTGTGTGAGTATGGATTCATAAAAAAGACATATCAAAGGAATTTGCAAACTTTATTAAAAGAATAAAAAATAAACATAAAAAGTAGCATACTAAAATGAGCTATATAATGCACACTTCTAAACACAAACAGAGAATACAACACTGTAACTTGAAAAAAGTCCAAACATTTGCAGTTGAGGGAATGAATTGCTGCATTTGGGGACAAAATATTATGTGAACAGTTTTTATTTGTAAAGTATTTTGGTCATTACTTAAGATTTTAATTGTTGCATAGGGCTAAGAATTTTCTCATTATAACATTTATTTTTTTTTCGAGACAGGGTCTCTCTGTGTAGCCTGGCCATCCTGAAACTCACTCTGTAGACCAGGCTGGCCTCAAACTCACAGAGATCTGCCCGCCTCTGCTTCCAAAATTAAAGGCATGTGTCACCACCGCCCGGCTATTATAACATTTTTAAATTTCCATTTTCTTTTGCCCAAGACAAATGCTTCCACTATCATTGTTAGATAAAGGTATAATTATCCCTTTAAAATCACACAAAGGAGGAACCTAGCTCATCATGTTAAACAAATTAATCTACCTGGAAGGCTGACATGGGAAAATCAAAGCATTTAAGGCCATGGAATTTGGACTAGTTTACACAGTATAGTGAGTGAGACGTCACCTTATAAAAATGAACTTCATTTTAATTATTGGATTTGGGAGCAAATGGCTCATTTTATAACTAAAGCAATAGCTATAGTAATAAAAAGAAGCTTGTTTTGAAAAGGCTACTCCCAGGATCTCATGAAATGATGGTCATATCATTCACTCAACTGCTAGACACAAAAGACACAGCAACAAAACAATTTGGTTTCTGTCATTAATAGACAGCATCTGTATACAGAAATAAAGCTTTGGAACCATGTAGTCCTATGACAGTCTTAAGGTTGTGTATTTGGGATAAAAAGCTCGCTTAATTCTTCTAGGTCTTGCTACAGAGGTATTTGAAAAAGTAACACGATGGAAAAGAATACTAGTGAGGATTCATGCAGTATCTATACAGAGTGGCAACTTATTTCCAACAAAAGCACTTTTCATTTTTAGGTACACTATAATTGAGGAAGGGTTTTATATAAACATAAAATTCGTCTAGGATAATCCAGATTTTAATGTCAGTGAGAAATTCACTTATAGGCAAGGGCAGATAGAGGGGCTATAAATTATGAATTAGTCATAACTTAATACCAATGGATGTCATCTTCTTACAGATTCACAAGGGAATGTCCATGTAAAGACACTGTGAAATCATGGGGGTAATAAGGCTGAAGTGGGCATAACTAACTACAAAATAAAGGTATGTTTACATTTTCTATTGGCCAAAATGGCTGCTCGGATTGTTAGGATGTTTGGTATGGCTGATTCTTAAGTGATGAGGAGCTGAGGGAAAAAGAAGAGCAATTTCTAGTCAACTGGCTCTAAGCTATGGGATTCATGTAAGCCTTGGGTTGCTTTCTGCCTTTGGTTTGTTTTCCATCTTTCATTTTCTTCCCTTTTTTTCCTTTTGCAGTGCTGGGGAGGGAATCCAGGACTTCACTCATCTAGGTAAGTGGTAACCTCTGAGCAATGGTTGTAGCTCTTTTTCTATCTCTAAGAGTTAGCAATATGGGTAGCGGCATTTCGTAAGAACTGCTCTCAGTTTAGGACCGGGTCCTTCGTTTACATGAGTGATACCTGCCTCAAGATGGGAAGGACTCTAAGTGCCAGTGGTGATCCATCCCTTAACCTTTCAAACTTCCCCGTTTGCTAAGCCTCGGTGCCTTGTGGGGGCAATAATCAAGTTCCTTGTCTATCTGTAAGTGTGGCATGAAAACTGACAGAGTGGGTTAGATTGACATTGTCTTCCAACTTCCATATTATGTAAGCTTTGGCTTGGTTCTCTTTCACTTAGTTAAAGCATTAACAATTTATCACTTAAATCCACACTAATTGATGTATGTATTAACTATGAAGGATGAAGTCTGTTTTAACTGGATTTGAGAGTTACTATCTTGTAATGGAGAGAGTATTTTTTCTTGCTTTCTATAATTGAAAAAAAGAAAGCCTCTGCTGGGAACCTTACCCACTATGTGGTGCATGCATGAGTGTGTAGTGTGATGTGTGTGTGTGTGTGTGTGTGTGTGTGTGTGTATTTTTACAGTGGGAATTAATCAACAAAGAGAATAATCTTTGCTAGTAGCCTTACTAAAAGGAGTGCTTTTTACTTTCGCTCAGTGCTGTTAAGGGAATCTGGCATATATCTGCGGCTGAGCTTCCGGTGAACTGTGGCAAACTAGCAAGCGTCCACAACAGCACTCAGCACTATGGTTTTGCTAATTCTCAGAGCAAATAAAACCCCACCTTCTCAAAGCCTCAGAAATCACTCTCACTAACTCTCTGCTATTACCACAGACTTCTTATATTCTAAAAAGCTCCAAGGATTGCTTTCATGGACTATGTACATAAGTGCAAAAAAGGTGTGTCTCACACATTCGCACCCTAACTGAGACAGTCAGGTAACTGCAGCATATGCTTCTTAACACTGTTCAGGGACCGTTCTACAGTATGTTTACGTGTGCTTTCACAAATACTAGTTAATTTCAAAATGCTGAATTATGCTTTAATCCTCACATATTCTTGTATATTATTCCAGAAAATAGGATTCTTTTTATAGCTACAGATACTACATGAATAGGTAATTTTGAACGAAGTTAAGAAGAAATGTCAGGTAATATATATGCCATTCTTGTTCTGGTGACAAAATACTGTATCAACCCTATCAACACAATCAATTCTATAAACTATAAAGCCTGACTCTAGAATCCGTGTGTTATAAACATTTTTGTGTCCTATAAGAGGACACACCCAGCTTTCACATGGAACTCAGGGCTTCAAAAACATCATCAGTTTTGAGCTGTATCTTCTATATGTTCGCACTGTCATGAACCACATATAGCTTACCAATAAAAGTTTTACATGCACGCATGTCTAAAGGTAGCCATGTTGTAGTTTTGTTGCGAAGGCAACAACTAAATATATTTAGCTGACAACTATTATTTGTGTGCCAAGCTAAACTTGTCCTTAAACTGTGAATTGTAGAGTGTAGTTATGGGCTGTAATCTATAATGTGATATGGTACAGTGTCAGTTTAGTGCCTAATAAATGGTGTAATAGCCTAATATGTGTAGTAAAAACTTAAACTTTCTCTAACTTTTCTTCAAAATTAAATTCATTAGTTACTTAGATATAAAAATGTAGTACAATAAAAACATTAAAAACTAACAATAAAGAATGAAAACATGGCACCAATTAGTGACTTGGTACTCAGGAGCCTCTATTTACAGTTTGATTTGACTATCTGCTAAACTTGCAAAACAAACGTTCAACTCTTTTATCTATTTTATTCTACTATCTCTGACAGGCACTGGTAAAATTAGGCCACTATCTTATTAAATCTACAAATCAAAATTAGAAATTGGAGCCCCCCATTTTACTTATTTCCATTTTAATGTAAGTGAAAGATAGAAAAGCTTTTTTTTTTTTAAAGGAGAAAGAGAAGTACAGCTGCTAATTCATTCTGCATCCCACAGTCCATCCCACAGATCGACAGATCTCAGCAAACTTGGGCTGCAGTTCATCTAAGGGCATCCTCACCAACAGTCTTCAAAGACAAGGAAAAGAATCAACTGACATTCCAAGTAGCGCATGAGCTGCCTCAACCACGTCAATCATTTCCTACAATGTAGTGTAGATGCTGTTCCTTCTTCACACACCACTGTCTGACTGACCATGCCATTCAAAGCTAATTCAAGTCAAAAAGCACTAATTTCCTTTGGTTCCTGCTGATGGCTGAGAGCAGGTACTGTTTTTTTCCGGGAGATCAGCGGAGTTGAGAGCTCCTAACAGTGGACAACACTTATGGCCAGATGAAAGTGCTTTAGCATGTCCAGAAATGGATGTGCAAGATGGATGGAACAGGAAGAGGATTGCTTTCATGATCAGATGCAAATTAAAGATAAATCTAAAAAAGTAACATCAAAAGCAACAGCTGGGTGTGGATTCAAGCTCCAATTTCAAAAGTAAACACTGTATTTCAATAACAATTTCATGAATCTATTTAATTTCAGTCCCTATTTAAAATATTATGGTCTCACAGTGCTTTTTGTAAAAACTGAAACTACTAATCCCTTCTTCAATGACATGTTTAGATTGCTTGTCTATATATCTGACGTTTTATCCAAGTTTCAGCAGTCTTGCAAATTTTGGCAAAAGGCTGAGAATATGGACAAAACTGATAATTTTGGAGAAATAAAAATAGAGGCCATTGTAAAACACAAAGACTACAAAATGCTAAGTAAGAATCACAACTGATTAGAATTTAGTTTATTTACAAATGATTCAGTAAATTTTTGTTTAGAGTCACTGATTTGTTGTGACTTGTCTTGTTAATTCAATTTATAGTCAAATGACTTGTGTTTTCTTCAATAAGATCATTATTCATTGCACAACTAAAGAGTGCCAACTTAAAAGTTTCATTTCTCTCAAAACTCGGTTAAATTTGATCAAAAGATTCGAGCTTTGAGCTTGCTTTCTTAAACTTCACATACACAGCAACTTTCAAATGTTATTGAGATGCGTTGCACCAAAAAGACAACGACCCTGAATGTTCATCACTGAAAATCTTCTTAAAAATAAGTCAACGCTAGGATTTTCCAGTGCTTAGAGCAATGTGAGAACAGCTCTCCTCTAAGTCCTCATCTATGTCTACTTTTGTCCAAAGTTTAAGAAGTTCAATGAGATAGTATGTTGCATCAAAATGTCAAACTACAAAAAGTTCATTTTGCACAAAACATTCTCATATCCACTAAGAACTACATCTAGTCTAGCTCAGGTACATTCTTTCTGGAATTATGATTTTAGAAAACAGAAATTAAGTGGTTCAAAAAAGCCCACACAGGTAAAAGGACACACAACTCTCAGTCTCTAACTTGAGGCAATAATTAGCAAAGGGCAGAGGCCCCAATATACAAACAAGATGATTTAGAAATAACTGGTGAACAGGATTCACCTGGATAATTAAGATCAATAGGATACCAATCACCAGAGGTATTTTTTTTATTCTGAGCCAATCTGATCTGCTTTGAGTTGGAGTCGCAAATGTTCCAAAGAAAGATGTAAAAAGGAGGAACAATTGGTTCCCACAATGGCTAGGCAGCCTTAGGCAAGTCACACAGCCTGTCTCTCTGTTTTATCAACCATGAAAAAGGCAATAAAGTCTTTGCCAACTCCACTGTTTTTAAAATCAATCCAATTACCTTAAGGTATCCCAAATGTTTTCTCTTTGCTTGTGATTTTCATGAAGAAAAACAACCTTTATATGTTCAAAAATTTGATGATTTTATACCTTCCAATGGGAGAATACATATTGAGTAGAAAATATTGAATCTACTTAAGCTGTTAGAATATATTTCCTCCCTTTTATAATAATAGTAATGTTAATAATAGCTATGTAGAGTAGAAAAGGTACACTATATGTCACAGAAATAGATGGATTACTATTTGATATTTGTGAGATTATTCTGTAAGTATTAGTAAGAAGAATTCATACCACACATCCATGGGATATTGCTATTCTCTACTAGACAAACGATGATAAAACTGACTATAATTTTGAAATGCATATAAAGGAAAATAAGTTCAAATGAGACAAAAATAGGTTTTGCTCTGAGACATAAAACAACAAAAGCCCCAAAACTGATGTTAAAGTTTGGACAGAGAAACCCTTGTCAAAGCTTGCTACTTCACTGCAGCTTGTAGGAAACTGGAAACTCAGTGGAAATGAAGTGAAAGACAATTGGGGAAACCTTCTCTAGTTCTGCATAATCAGTCAGTCATTTTAAATGTCTCCCTGACCCCATCCCTGCCAGTTCTCCAAACCTGTACTCAGCTCTTTCTGTGATCAATAGAGAAGATTGTCTATTTGGGGAGGTAAGGCCTCATTTGGAAACAATTCTCTTTCACCTGGATTGACTTCTGCTAGACTGCATCTTATTATTCAAAGAGGAGTCTAAAGAACATGAGCCATTTGCATTTGGAAAATGGCACTTGTCCAAAAGGTTACAGTGCAAAGGTTTTACACACTTTCTGCCAGTACATAAAAACTGTCTCCACGCCCACATCTCTCTTCTTGACTTACAACCTACGATTATCATGCCTTTAAAGCAGTAAGTACCATTTCTCAACTGAAGACGACAAATGGCTCAATTTTAGAGACTCAGGCCGAGAGAAAGGACCCTGTGACACAATACATGTAGCGGCTGCTCTCCATCATCTTTCTACGTGCTCAGATATTTCTTAGAATGGGAATACTTGATTTGCAGGTTATTTAAGAGGAGGGTTTGAGGTTAACATTTGAACTTTCCTATCATATGTAGGTAATTATTTTCTCTTTTAAAAATTGAGTATATTATTGGCTATGCAAGGTCAGATCTACATGTAAAGTTCTATGAACAGGTTTTGTGTATACTCAGAAGTGAAGCCTGTTAAACGTATGCCTCAAGAAACTTATAGAAATGTTTTGAAGAGTACATATTAACCTGAACCTGTCATGTTTTTCAATCACACTATTCCACTATTCCCCACTAATGACATTTAATTGAAATCAAACACCACGGATAAACAACAAAACACTAGCATGGAAAAGCTAAACAGAACCCAATTTAATACAATATATCAATGGGGGAAATGGTACTGGATATATTAGTTACATTCTACATCAATCCAATAGACTATCCTGTAAACAACACAGTAAGGTAACACTTCAGAAACAGAATTTATCCACCAAGAAAGTACAGTAAGCTTACTACAGTACTCTGTGCAAGTTCACTTAACATAAATCATTTTTGGAAAAAAAATCAGAAAATTTTATGGTTAATTTCTATATGATAATTCATATCAGATGGGTAATTCATATAATATGGAGCTGATAATTCAAATAAATGGCAAAGCTACATGGTTGTATTCTATATGCTAACTCATATACAATTAATAATCCATACTAGGTAACACACAGTGATCAATTTTCTATTCACTTTAATATCTCCAAAGATTTTTGAATGCTTTATTTTAAATTTTCAACTGGTATATGTGCTTAATATATTGACTGCACCATGCTTATCGTTGTGTTGGTAGAAGAGGACATACGAGAATACATATAGAAAGGCCATATGGAGTTTCTCGTTGAGAGATTCTGATACTCCGTAACTCTGCTGCTCAGAATTTCAACTGAAATAGAAAACAGAACAAGAGAATCAGTAAGAAATAGTGAAGAGTTATTAAACAAGGTATTAGGAGACTAGTTCTTATTCTTTCTATAAGTGAACTAAGCCAAGATAGTCTCCACTCTGAATTTCAGACCCTATGTCTGCGACAGTAAGGCTAAGACAAACAATCACTAACCAGACACATACCTAGGACAGTCTATGGGAGGCCCCCACGATGGGTCATATTTAAGGCATTACCTAACAATTCAAAACAGTTTGCTCATGAACCAGCTGTCAGTTTATCTTATTCATCAGCCATGTACCCCTAAGATGTACTTAATACCAAACACTTTGAAAAGGTTTAATAGTAAACAAAGATTTACACTTTTAGCTGAATATCTTACACCCTTGCAGAAATATCTCCAATAAGTCATATACTATTATACAAAAAGACATTTTTGATATTTGGAGAAAATTTTTACACCAGTTACATGTGAAAATTATTATATTCTGCCAAATGTCTTCTTTTTTAAAGGAATCAAGTAATAGAAAAATAATTCCTCAAACATATTTTATGTAAATCCACTTTGTTTGGATTTTCTTCACCTTGATGGGCAGTGGCCTATGAGAAATTAGCAAGCATTGGACAAACCTCCACTGTCACGTCCAGAGTTTTGTCAATCTGCTATTATCCCAGATAACACCTGTGAAAACAATTCTAACTTCCAGCTCCTTCAGTTCCCCCATGTCTTTGTAAAACATTCCTTATGACTGAGGGGAGCTGCTTATCTAGTGTATAATACCTATGGGGCTTTGTCTGAAACAGGTTAAGAACTTAGTAATGGGAGATGGTGAGTTAGGGAAGCAGCAGGCATACCAGCTACCTCCTTCAACCATGTGACAGACTGAATGTGAAAGTCCTCCAAGCTTTCCACACCTACAGTTGTATTCGGAACAGATTCATTTGTTAGGTCTCTAGAGTTCAGGTACCTAGGATTTTTAATTATCTTCAACAGACACATTCCATGTGAATGAATGCTTGAACTCAGTGTGTGCTGCTAATGGCCCTTGGACCAGGCAAAGGAGAGGTCAAATGTTAAGGTGGACAAAAAATGAAAATAATTACTGGATTGCTAAATTATTTTGTATGTCATTCGACCTCCAGACAGCTAATGCAATTCTACTTGTCTTATTACATGGGAAGCAACATACTGGAACATACAGAAAGAGCACAGCTTTTTATACTGACGCAGAAAGAATCATAAAACTCACTGTCTTTAACCTGATCATATCAGCCAAATTTCGACAAATTTACTTTGTTACTTAAACAAAAAAAATGAAGCTTAAAAATCTTAAAATCTTAAAAAATTTAAGCCCAGCGTAGTGGTGAATTTCTTTGATCCCAATACTCGGAGACAGAGTCAGGCAGAGCTTTGAGTTTGAGGCCAGTCTGGTCTGCAAAGTGAGTTCCGGGACAGCCAGGGCTACAGAGAAATCTGGTCTTGAAAACAAAACACATAAAAAAGTTTTAAGAATTAAAATTCAAATGTGATTTGCGCTTTCGGCTTAAAAAATCTTGCCCCTTTGAAACTAGAAAAACATTACTGAGTCTATGAGCTCATTAGAAAAATATAGTAACAGCTGTCATCTCTATATCAAAAATCATTTTTCTGGCATTTCAGTTTTGAAATTTTTGAATTCAGGCAAATTCAAGTTATAAGCAATGTCTTTACATGAAAATGTTTACTCAAACCTTAGCAAATACAACTGTGTAAATAAAAGATACAACCTACAAATATCATCTATTAATACTTAAAGAAACTTACTGTTCTACTGGTAACTTCTACATCTGTGAAACAAACATGCTCCTATTCAGTTCATCTATTGATAATTGGGGCATCTATAGTAGCAAAGAAGATTTTAGATTAAAATAATTTCTTAGGCGAATCCTGTCTATTTTGCTCACTGCCTGAGTTTGTTACATCAAAATGATGATCAGAAACCTTTAAGCAGATTTACGATTTCCACTGTGTCAACTTTGCAGAGCACAGGCTGGAGTGTAGTTTATCCATCAAATGAATGTTGTGTGCTTCTTGACTATCATGCTTGAAATTTAAATAGCAGCTTTGGGGCAAGTGAGCACTTTGATAAGGCAGGACGGGTATCACAGTACTCAGTAGCTACTGTACTCATTTACTCACAACTTCAAGATTTCCTAAAAATTGGCCATTTGCCCGTGACTCTGCCTGAAAAATCTAAACCAAATGAAAGTGGAAACAACACAAGCACATCTAAGGTCTACACGAGAGGAATTTCTGATGTAATCACTGGGTGATAATAAAGATGTGCGCTCCTTGGAAAGAAATGTGATAGCATGCTATCTTTCCAGCGGAAGTGCAAGTAAAGAGATGTGTTTACTAAATCTGAGTTCAAACACAATAACCAAAAGCAAGGGGGGGCTGTAAAATAATTTTTCCTCTTCACCAAGATGAGAAAGCTTTTAAGGCATACGCAGTACAGCATATACACTTGAGGATTGGTGTGGTAGCAATAAATTGATATAGAAAAACATGAATAATATCTGCTTACCAATTAACAATGGGTAAAATGCTGCCAAGTAATCCTGAGAAAACTGAAAATCACATTCAGTGCCCTAATTATACATAAAAACCAAAAGTTCCAAATCTAACAACTGGTTAAGAAACACATAAGCACATGGACTAATAACTTTCACCAATCCAAAAGGCATATACTGTGCCTTTTCAACATGTTGTGGTTATCTAGGTCTGAACAGATGAAATAAATGGCCAAACCTGATTGCCTGTAGTTGTTGGAACGAAGGGAACGCTGGTGGCAGGTGTTGTTGCTGCAGACACAGTGGAAGGTGTAGCACCGTGCATCATGGGCACTTTCAGTAGAAAATCATGGAAGCAACACATGGAAGGGTGAAGCATTTACACAACCATGACAGATACGATGGAATGGGGCATAGTTGATATCCCAGCAACAAGCCACGTAACATCATCATGATGGGTATACACCAGGGTGCAGCATGCAATCAAAGTCAGTGCAAAGCAGCACAGCATGGAATGGAGGAAAATTTAAAGAGAGAAAGGGGAAAGCCAATTATAATTACCATTAAGGATAACAGCCGTTCTTAACATTTTGAGCAACATAACATTGTAGTGTATTCAAAAGGAGGAATTTTCAGGACGGGTTGTAATGAATGCAGATGAAAAAATTCTGCTGTTCCAGGGCTACCTATTAAAGCTAGCTAAGCAGACAAGTCACTGAGTTGCACAGTCAAAATTAATTAGGGTATTGTCAACTGGTGTTTGGGTTCACTGACAAGTGCTGTTACTAGATTTTTCTGGTACAAATGGCAGTTTTACGTGTACTTACCTGCTCAGCATATAAAAAGAACAGTGGTTCTGTCGAGTATATGATGGAAGAGCGGGTATGAAGAATATAGTGGACTATGTATTCAGTTTGGTAAGTTCCTTGAAAATTTTTGCTATTGTCAAATACACAAGTGGTTCATAGTAAATCTTGTTTTCAAAAGAAATATTAGAGCTACAATGGCTAGCAGCTGCACAATCCTTTTCAGGATGTTTTTCTTTGCTTTGCTACTTTCTATTTCATTCTCAAAGCTTTTGGATGCTTTTCTAATTTACAGCTTATTTTGGAAATCCAACTAGGGAATTAATGTGTGAATGGGGAGCATACATATATAATAATTTATCATGTCTACCTCAGTCAAATTCAGATTTTCTGAAAGTCTACTGCCAAAGTGAATGGCCAAGAGGAAAATGCAATCAATGCCAAAGTAAGTAAGACTGTCCCCCAAATAGTGATTAACAGAAACTCCATAGCTGTCCCTTTATCCGTCTCTGGCTACTTATTCCCTGCAGTCATCCTTCATTGTCTCATGAGCTAATTCTAAAACCACTCATGTTTCTCTCATTGGAAGCACAGCAACTGTGCAGGAAGCAGCAGCGCCAAAGCATGCAATTGCATTCATAAGCAGAGTTCTGAAAGGGAAAGGATGAGGAAGCAGCCCCCAGAAACAGGTCACAAATTGTGAAAGCAGAGAAACATTCCTCAAAGTTGTAGATGTCTGTTCTTCCACTTACATTTATAGAATGTTCCTGTTAGTATCAACGCAATGTTAATTCCTATGGTGACAGCTAATCCTTCAATAACAGGCCTCATCCTTTTGCCAGGGTGCAGATCTTGCTGTATTTGTGCTGTTTCTATATGGCCATCATTTTGACCTTTCTCATGATCTGTTTCTGGCTCTCATGAAGACTATAGGAACTGTGACCTCCCAGTGGATTTCTCATTTTCTTTTCTATTAATGAAATACAAACTCGCTAAGGGAAGGCTACCATATTGCGGTGGTGGCTAACTAAAGAACTGTGTGTAACTAGTTATTCCACTTGATCTTAGCCAAAAGTCTGAGAGGATATGACTGGTAGTTAAAAAAAAATCACATCATCATCACAAATCACTTTTGAAATAATTCTGTTATGCCTAATTTTGGCAGATGATGCTCCATCCTTGGACACTAAAGAATCCAAATTGGGCTGGAGAGATGGCTCAGCCATTAAAGGATAAGCCCACAGCCAAAAAATTATAAGAATCCATCAAAGAGCATGGCAGGATGTTCTAGCTTTGCTTTAAGTCATCCTTTCTCAACATCGTTGTAATGAATGGATTACACTGTAAGAGTAATGTGGGGAGGTAATTGTTCCATTGCAGTTTATAAATTATCTATTTAAAATGTATTTTTAAAATGACAGACACCAGACCAAGAAAAATATCAAGTTTCACTACGGAAAGAAACATTTTAATATTTCAGTTGCTGTTTTTAGGACAGGAATGGAAAAGGCAGGGTTAAAATTTGGCTACAGTGGCCACCTACTAGAACTTGAGAAATAAGTCTACTTTGATTCCAAAGAAGACCATATTAAATCCTAAATACTTAGAAAATGTCCACGCATATCATTCTGTCACTTATGTGTTTATAGTCACAGTGGAAAAATGCTTTCAGGTTAGAGAAAGTTGAGAATTTTTGTACAAAACCTACCAAAAGTTGAAGCGGGTGCCATGCACAGTATTGGCCCTGTACACCATGCAGAAAGCGTGGAAAGTAAAGAAAAGAGAGATTTCATTATTCAGGCCTTAAGATAGAAGTGAATTTTAACTAGAAAGGTAATTTTGGCAATATCAATTAATCAGCACATGCAGACTAGTAATCACCCATGCTTATAGTTACAGGTTAGATTTAAGACCACAGACCCAGGGAGTAAAAGTAATTCATAGGTTAAAAAGAACTTTACATTTTCTTTAAAGGAATCATCTCACATAAATTGTTTGTTTATTTTAGGCAAATACATGGTAAATAATTTATTCATAAAAGGAGATTTTTTTTGTTTACTACACATATTCTTTTAAAGGTATGCTCCAGGATCTAAGTCTGTATTTAGAGAATTAATCTATTAACTAACTGCTCAATATATTATTTTCCTTATGTCTGAGTACACAATACTATGTGTCTGGGCATGTTTATGTAATTTTGAAGTTTATAAAAATGATCTTTAAAGCAAATGGTACCTTCATTTATTAAAGCCTTCACATTTTTTAGAAGAAAATTTCCCCCAACTTTTTGATAAGTACTGGGAATTGAGTCCAGGGATTTGTACATGCTAGACAAGTTCTCTATTAGATATACAATCCCAAATATTTACTTTCACTTAAAAATAATTTCCAAGAGTTAGAGGCTAAAGCTAATTGTTTTACAAATACAATAAATTTACTATACATTTAAGGATTTTGAAAATTATTGATCTTGTTATATCATAGTTATATAGACTATAGAATTTTACACATTGAAGTTAGAAAATGCTTTGCACAGATAATTGCTATCTATGAAATAATGACTACAAGTCAAGTACTTAGATGAGATAAAATCAAGTACATCAACCAAGTGAATCAACCTTCAGAAGCAAACAAAAACTCTCCTAGTTTAATTTCCATCATTTCCAAAATCATATATGTTGTTCTAGATCATGGCAAATCAAGTGTAACTGTTTTATTTTACTTGTAGTCAAAATGCATGATGACTATCCTCCAACAAAAGCCCTTTCAAAGTTGCTTTGCAGTATACATATTCAAACTTCTAAACTCTGGATTCCTAGAACTGTGCTCTCACCTGTAGGGATAAATGCCGGCTGCGGAATCTGCATGTTAGCCAGAGCCTGCTGGTAGTGGAAAACATTGGGATTAAAGACTGGGGTGGCACCATTGGCCTTATCCAGGGCTGACCTCTTTGGTATCAGTTGAAGTGCACCTGGCTGCAGGGCCTATAGAGAAGGGAAGAAACAGTCACTGTTACCAGAGAAGTAAAAATGTAGTCAAACCAAGCAAGTGCCAATTATCTAAGATACAACCTGGGGAGGCACCACAGGGCATCCACGGAGCAACACTTTAGGTAAGTAGTGGGTACTCAGCAGGGCAAACAGCAACAAAGATTAGCTGTTTCAGTGCAAATAGTTAGTATGAAACAAATATAAAAGGAACGGGCCTTTTCATGTCCCCAATCCATAACACTTGGGACAGGATGTTATAGAAAACTCGAACAGCAAATTGTCATACACGACTTACTTCGTAGTGTAAGCAACAATAGTAAACAATAGAAACGAGAAGAGCAGAAGTGACAGGAACAAGAGAACAAAGATTCCTGTCTATTAAAGTCCCAGCATGGATGGAGGGGCTAAATGGCATGCAGACATTGGCATTATAATATTGTAGTCCTAAAAAAAAATTCTAATTTAGACAAAGACCTCAGGTTCAAATCTTTTAAGTGCATATCTAAAAACCCACCTGGAAGAAAAGGCAGGCGAATCATTCCTCCCTACCACCAATCTCACTCTTGTACTATACATTTAAGTGAAATGTAAAGCATTTGCAGTTTTTTTTTTAAAATAGAGGTTCTCTGCACAGTTTACTCTAAAACGTTTGATTCATTAAATATTTCTTAAGTTTTAATTCTAGAATCTATCAGAACTTTTAAGTCCTTCTTCTATGTCTACAATTCTTTCAGAATCTCACTGTTCTTTTAGTATCCAAGGCAGATCCTAGATCAGCGTCATTGGAAAAGTTTAACATTACTTTGCATTTTCCCTTCAGCAAATTATGTGCTATTTCAACAAGTGCCAGCAACATTGAGGTGTGCTCCAAATGCCTCAGGAGATAGGAACACTTCTACTGAGGAACTAGCCTTCCAAGTAGCAAAAGGAGTCATGCCATGACCTCCTGATGCCCACGGATATTTAAAAGCCTAAAATGATCTATATTTTCTTTTGAGAACCCTTCTTTTGATAAGTACATTACTTTGATTGTCAAAATAAGTCAGATGAAAATAAACCAAGTAGCTTTAGAGATGCACAATTTCCAACTTTCTCTGAGAACAGATTGCAAAGTTCATGACAGATATTCGTTTGTAAAATACCAGTTATCATTCCAAATGCCTTTTTTAACCACTGAGGTGAAATGCATTCACTGAAGATTTTACCAGAGCAGGACAGGAGACTCCTCATTTGGCTAGCTAAAATATTTCCTTTTGGTACAAGTTGAGGCTGTCCCTTTCTCTGGAAAATGGGAAACATCAGAACCAAAGCTGGGCTGCCCAGCAAGCACAAAACTGTCCCCCTCTGGGAATATGGGTGGATATCTTGGTAGCCAAAATCAAACAAGCAAAGACTGTGGCAAGCAACATGCCAAAATAATTCATAGTTGTGAAACATTTGAGTAATTTTAACTTTGACTTCCAGCACTACAGTGTTACAATGATTTTTTTCTACTTACTTCAGTTAGTGTTATCAGTCAGAACTAACTCTTCCCCATAAGTGCCTGCTAGAGCAACTCAAAGGAGAGTTCTTTCCCCTCAGTCATGTCCAAATCTCCCTGAAGATATGGCTGGCTTCTGCCTTGATCTTCCCTTCTGTCTGCACCATACAGCCAGAACAGAAAGGTAATTTTGACCTTTGGGAAATTAGTGCTGTTTAATACCCCATCTTTGAAGCACTGTGTTTTCAAAGGGCATTAAGGATGTGAGTAATAAAGCATCCATGAAAGTGGCTCATAGAAAACAGAGGCAACTTGCCATCTTTGAATATTCAGGCTAGTCAGACTATAAGAGGCACTGTTTAAATAATATAATTTATCTTTCTCTAAAATTAAGAAAAAAAGAATAGTGGGTTAAAAATCATGAATAAAGCTTTTAAATAATTATCTTTAGAAAGTCTTAGCAAATAAAGTAGAATATATAGGTTCTTATTTTCTAGCATATAACTTTGGCTATTCATATTAAGATACACTCAAGTAGTCAATCTTTTATGTATGCAAAATATTAGACAAAGTGGGCTTACATGAAGCCCACAGTCCTAACTTGCTCTTACCATTGCAGCAGCCGCTGAATGGTTCATCTGGTGATGAGCTGCCTTGAGTTTGGCTTGCAAGTGTGGAGGAGGATGAAAGTACTTGCATTTCTCCCGGGAGCATCGGCCTTTAATGTAATCCATGCAGATTGTCACAGTATTATCAGACACTTCAATCATAGAAACATCAGTAGGGTGAGCATAGCGACAATCACTCTCCCCACGGGTACAATTTCCACGCTGAAATTCACGGCAAACCTTAAACAGGAAAACAAAAACACACATACATTCCCAGTGATGATTGGAAGGTGACTGTTTATTTGCTTTCCATGAAGATATGAAGGTCACATACACATTTTGTCATTTATGTAGGAAATAGCTATAAAAGATGAAAGGTAATACAAAGTAATAGTCACCCTAAGACAAAAAAAACCCCATAATTTTCTATTCCAAGAAGGGGTGTGGAAATCACATTTTCCACAAAGTGTCTATTTGCTTTACACTGACATAGTAGGACCTAAAGTATTACTAAAAATGTGTTTGCGCTTTTAATCCCAGCACTCGAGGGCAAAGGCAGGTGGATCTCTGTGAGTTCGAGGCCAGCCTGGTCTACAAGAGCTAGTTCCAGGACAGGCTCCAAGGCTACAGAGAAACCCTGCCTCAGAAAACTAAAAGAAAAAAAAAAGATAAAAGAAAGAAAATGTTTTTGAATCTTGAGGTAAATATATACCCTCAAATGTAATTATTTCTTTAAGGCCTAGGGTGATTCTTTAGCATACAGCAATGTTACACAGCCAATTTGTAAACCACATTGTATATTTAGATTCCATTCTAATACACGATTAGGGATTCAATTGGTTGCCAATGGAGCTGACTTTCTAAGAAATAAACCAGTTATTTTTTCTAGCGAACAAAGAATAGCAATTAAAGGAAAATTAAAGGGTGCCAATAAATCAAAGGATGTTTGAAATTTCTTTTAAATTCTTTAGGTTTCATATTTACTATGAAATACATAATTCTTAACAGGAGAAAGTGTTTAGATGCCACATTCATACAGCTTTACATTCTATAATTGTGTAATGTTAGGTTCATTTTTTTTCAGTTTATCATTCTAGAAAATAGAGACTCATGAGCAAATCCAGTTATTCCATTCTATAGAGCTCCAGCATGGGTATAAAGAAAATTCTCACTCAGACTTCCTATAGAGTGGTTCATGTTCGGGTATACTTGAAACAGTGTTTGACCTGCTGCACAACAAAATACATTCACTTTAGAACAAGGTCTAACTGAAGTTAAAAAAAAAAGGTTAACATTCCTTCTCAGACTTCTTATATGCTAAAAAGTACTCGGATATACTTATTTAAAACATTCAACAGATTAGGCTCTGAAAATGTACATTATGCATAATGTTAATATCAATTCTACAAGCATTTACATATGTATCCACAAATACCTCCAGTCTATCTGTACGAGCTGGCTTTGGGGCAGGAACTCCTGGCAATGCAAGAGGTGGATTTCCAGAATAGAGAACTGGAGTGTTTGGTAAAAGTTCAGCAGGAACCAGGCCCATCCCAGGATGATGCATGTAAGGATTGAAAGCCATGGCAGGATTAGCTGCAAGTGATGGATTCATAGGAAAAGATGCCTGTGTTCAAAAGAGAGAAAAAGAGGTAAACATATCCTTCTTACTATTTATTACAGCGGGCATTCTCGAAGAATTACAGCATTTCCTAAGATACTACTAGCTTTTCTTTTCTTTTTGAGATTATATAATCAAATCATTTAATTATATTTATTATATAATTATGTCTTTTTATTTTTATATTTAAAATTATAAATTATATATTAATTTTTGTATATTTATATTATATCATTATATCACTTCACCTTTCCCTTTCCCCCTTTCAAATCCTCCCATATACCCTTTCCTTGCTCTCTTTAAAATTTATGGCCTTTTTTCATTAATTGACATACATACATATGAATACACCACTATTATACAATTACCACTGTTTCTTGATTTTTTTTGTCTTTTACTAATTCCCATATAGGAGTAGCTTTTAAAATGACAACTATCTATAGGCATGAACTTTACTGGTAAGCCGATTTTTGAAAAAGCCATAATTTTACCAATGAATGACAGTACATATAGACAAGATTTCTCTTGCTTCCTCACATAGTCATGCCTTTAAATGTGGACTCTGTGTGCTCCTGGTAGTCCTTTTCCTTTCACGCTCCCCTTTCTCTTCCCAGCTGTAATGCTGCCTGTCCCATGTCTAATCACCTAACAGTGCCCTTCTTTCTTTTCTTGGCCAACTGATATTTATAGAAGACTTGAAAAAAAAACCATTAATTTATAAAAAGTGAATGCTTTACCAATTTACCATCTACCTAAAATGAGGGTAGTATTGTCATTTTACTTTGACTTTATTTTTACTATTTTACTACAGGTCCTGTTTCATAAACTAATCTGACTTGCCCAGCCTTGTCTTTATCTAGGGGGCAGATGATACTCATAGTTCAAAAGGTGGCCCTAGAAATGCTATGAGGATCCCTACTAGGGAAGAAGAGATCAGGTAACAGGAGTTCCCTAATTTAGGGTATAACTAGCTTTAAAAAAGCCTTAGAAATGCAAAGGGTTAGTACCGTACTGTCTCTCTTTACAGTTCCTGCATTCAAAGAGATTGGTATGTGTGTTGCCTTTAGTGTCAGGAATGGCACATTTTATCATCTTACTGTGCTCTTTTCCAGTTTGTGCATCTTTTCTTTTCAATGTGGTTATCATTTCATTGATAGTTCTCTTGTCCTCCCTAAAGTACGGAATACTTAATGACGTGTAGATATGATTGAAGGTACACTTTAAAGATAAATTTTAAGTTTAATGAATGAATAATAAATATTACTTATATATTTCTAGTAGCAATTTAATAAAGTAATAACTGGTGGTATCTCACTGTATTTTACTAAGTGCATGCGTTTTTTCTTGCATTTATTTTCTTTCTTTCATTGGACAAATCAAGATGCACCCACACCTGCTAAGTTGCAGTCGAAGGGCTTCTTCTAAATACAGGGAGAATAGGAGTCTAAGGAGTCTGGTGGGCTCATATACATAACCTCTACCTCACCTTCCATGCTTACTTCGAATTTTCACTGGCACAGACACCTGAAGAAACCCTGAAGGCCAAGTTGGCTAAGATGGAAGTGCTCCCACTTTAGCATTACACCTTATGTAAATGTATCAAATAAGCTGACTGTTCTGTTAGGAAGAACAGAAAGAATCCAGCTCAAAGAAACTGGATTCATTAGGATAAGGGGGTAAGCATTTTAAGATGAAGGGACCACACTAGATGCCAAGAAAGATGATAGGGAAGAACTCTGAGGTTTGAGGGCAGATAACCCTGGGAACATTCTCAGGAACCTGTCAAAGTTCTCACCATCTTCGGGATTTAGACCTGACACTCTTGTCAAAATCAGCAAAAATCTTTGAAAGAAAAAACCCTACATTTGAAACACACAGCAGTCTTATTTTTTCTCTCAGATTTTTATAGAACTTTCTCATTGAAGTCACTCTCTAAATTCTAGATACTTTTTAATTTCACTTTTTTAAAACTGAAAAATTGCAACTATGATATATTGAACAGAAACAAAGGCTATGGGGTGGATAAACTTTCAGACTAAAAAAAGAAGAAAAACTAACAAATAAGTAATTTAATTCATATTCTATTAAAAGCCAATCCTAATGTTTACCTAAGCAAGGCTTTCTTTTTATGGCTCTAACCACTCTAATTTTTTTTTTTGTTCAAGAAAAATTTTATGTTTTCCTTCTTTCTCTTTAAGATTATTTTAATCTACTCAGGATATGTTATTTCTTTTAACAGTATAAAAATCTGTAAATAATAAGTCTATATGGAAAGATAAAAACGATTTCTGGACATATTTAGTTATTTTTAAAGATTTAACCACAAACTATACTGGGTTGTCATTAGATTTTAAAATCAGTGTTGTAGCTTTTATGACCATTTCCTCTTTGAGTATAAATTTCATTCTATAACACTTTATTGAGAAGGAAGATCTTCCAATTGCAGCCCTGGAGCAGAGGCAGGCACTTCTGAGCTGCTTATTTCTTTTCAAATAAGCATTTCTATTTTCTCACTACTACCCTTGCCCCAGGCTAACTACTCCATTTTATGAACCTGAACATTCAATGGCTTACTTTTGACTAACAGCCACAGGTTAAGTCAAGCAGCCTATAACTTGAATGCAACATCTTGTGCATTCAGTTGCAATAAGCTAAGCAACTTAATCCTGTATCTATGTATATCATAGCCCTTCATGGCAATTAAACTAACATGAACCCATCTGTGAGTTATTGTTTATTTTTAAAGAAAAAGGATAGGGTGGTTTGTGAGTATGTATGCTGGGGATAGAGCCCACGGCCTTATACATTCTAAGCACACATTACCACTCAACCACATCCCCCAGCCCTAAGAAAAAGGTTCTTATTGAATGGAGTATGATTTCTCTGTATAACGTGTAGTAATCTAGGCATTTCAATTGCTTCTGATACTTAAAGTTGAACTAAAATCATTTATTAAATATTTGAAAATGTGAGATGTTTTCTGTCACAGCCAGAGATGTAATTTTTTTCTTTTTTTATTGATTTTTATTGAGCTCTACATTTTTCTCTGCTCCCTTCCCTGCCTTTCCCCTCCCCTTGAGCCCTCCCCTAAAGACCCCATGCTCCCAATTTACTCAGGAGATCTTGTCTTTTTCTGTTTTTCATACTTCTGAGTCAGGCAAAGTGTTAAGAATGGTGCAGGTAGCAGACTTTAAGAGACAAGATCACTGGACAATTATTTGTCCTCAGAGTCTAGCAGTTTTTTCCTATCATACAATTTTCTAAGACTTCTTGGGGACTAGCAACGAAGCCTAGAAACTACCATGAACTCAAAAAATGCCTCCTAACATTTAGGGAAATGACTTCTGACAAATGGCTCCTAAGCCTTTACTTCTGGGACTTTCTGAGAGTCAGCTAAGAGCTGCAGGAAGTGTATACAGAAAAACCTCATATATATTCACAAAATTTGTTGACTGGATCTTAGGAAGTTCAAGAGCCCAGAGCCATCCACTGCACCACTGTTGCAGATTTCTGGCTCCTATTAGGCTTGTCCAACTCATGGCCTACAGACCATATGAAGTTGCAGAGAGCCCCAGCACAAAATCAAAAAGTTACATTAGACATTATGAGATTGTTTTGTGATTTTTAATTGGATTGCACAGCTCTCAAACATGAACTTTGTAGATGACAAAAGGTTGGACAAGCCCAGGTGAATAAGGATCCACAAATCAAGATCCCTCAAGCAAATCTGACCTGCCCCTATTTTTGTATAAACAGAAACCTGCATTTTATATATTTTAATGTTTAAAAATATTAAAAGAATAATATTTAGCAACAGGGAAATTACTGTATGTTTATTTTAATGTCTATTCATTGATTTCAACGTGCTGCTTTGTAGACCTGTATTACAAAAAATTATGGAAATTTAATTCACCTCAAACACAAGAATTCTTACACACACACACACACACACACACACACACACACACACACGTCTATACATATTACTCAGTGATTAACTATGGGGAGACAATAGTTGGAACTCTACCAAGGTAAAATTTGAATTATCCAGCAAATATTCTTCTTAAAGTACTCTGAAGCCCCTTTGAATAGTAAAGCAATTTAATAAAAAAATTCTCTCCTTAACCAGTTACCTGTTGATGGTCTTGGTGAATTTCATATCTTAGCTATTGTGAACAGTGCAGCAATAAACCTGGAAGCACGGGTGTCTATCTCATATAATGATCTGAGTAACTTAAGTCTACCACAAATTTATGATAGTCCTAAGGTTCCCAATACATGGAACAGATAAGTGAGGAGATGAAAATGCTAAGTACACTGATTAACATTTCACATTCTAGGCATATGTAAAATTATTGTAGTGTGCCTCATAAATATGTGGGTAAGTATGCTTCCATTTAGAAATTAAGAAAATAGCAAAAATGCCTCAAGTACATGAGTCTAGTTTGTAAATATTTTTGGGACACTAACTTATTAATTAAAATGAATTATTCATCAAGTTAGTATAAAGAAATGAAAATTAAATGTATACCAAATCCATTGTTTTATCTTTCTAACAAAAGAGACCTACTTGCTGTCAGTAATATCCAACATCAGCTAAAATTATTGATGAATACAAAAGATTTTAAGTGATTTAAATGATATCACAGCCTGAACACCACAGAATAGCTGAGGCCTTCCTTCTCGGAACTTCTATTTAGAGGTAAAAGACTAAGTATTTTCTTTTACTTAAGGGTAAACATTTGTCAGCAATTTGTTGACTCAATGTTAATACCAGAAAAATAGGGCCCTTCAATTTTACTAGCACTCATAACCCCCCCTTTACTGTTCACTTGAAGACATCTATGTGTAAACGGAGTAAACCCTTTTAATCGTCACCATCAGGCTTATTTCTGTCAGAAAGTTCTAGAGAACAATGAGCGCATGGTTGTAGTTTCTATCAGATTCTACTAACTCTTCACAAAGGGAACAGTGAGGAAACTGTGTTTTTACTTGGTCACCTACTG